ACCATTTTCCTTCCTTTAAAATCTTTCCCATTGCTTATAAATGATCAGAAATTCTTTGCTGAGCAACGTTTAATCTTTCTGCAAGTTGTTTTTGAGTCTGACACCCATCTTCATACAATAATGCTTCTAATTGTTGGTCTTCAAACTTTTTTGGTTGACCTACATGTTCTTTGTCTTTCACATCGAAATCATCACTTTTAAAGCGTTTAAACCAGCGTTTACAAGTATCTTGATATGGAGCATGTTCACCATAAGCTTCCAGAAGTATACAATAACTTTTTCTCCAAAATAAAGTAATGAATTAAAACTTCCCGCAAATACGCTCTTTTTTTGGCATGAAATTCGACATTTTTAAGTGCAAAAATATCTATGATGTTAACACCTTCCGCAAATTTGACATAACTTTTGAAGCTTGTTGTCAATACAACAAAATAGCATACATATCAAATTGCATATATATCAACATATGTGTAACACCATCTATTGAAAAAAACTCCGCAATATTAACTGGTACACCTAGTATCCTGTAGTATTTTGTTGGTTGCTTCTTAAATAAAAAGATGGAAAATCTGTATGGTTATAAGCATTTTATTCACTTTGACTTAAAAAATTTTGTGGTTTTTTTTTAGGTTCTCAATCCATTTTACATTTTCCAGCTGTTCAGTGTTATACTGTGGTGCACTGATGAATACTATTACTATGCTCTAGCCATTGTGATTATGTCTATAGTATCAATTTTAAGTTCTCTATATTCCATTAAAAAGGTAAGTTCAATTTATTATTGATTTCACAACTGTATTTATATTTTGTAAGGTGCATAGAATAGTGCTTGATACAAAGTAATACTCAATACAGATTTTCTTTTAGTTATGAATATGTCCCTTTTTTTTGAGGTAGGGAAGGCAGATCTTTTTTAGAGTCAGTTTATTACTTGACCATAGGCCATAGCAGGGGTCTATTGTTGTTTATCATAGGCTGGTTCTAGTGTTTTCAGGGATCAAGTGCTTTTTATTTTGTCTTTAGCTAAAACATCGTATAGTTTTTTAAATCTTTTAGTATTGACATTTTTAAGGGCAGAGTGATAAGCGTTTATTTTATTAACTTTATTTTATAGTACCCTTACTTTTTAATATATTGAAGAGTGGTTTTATATTAGCTAGTTTTTATTTTTTATTTATTTTTCTTATTTCAGCAATATACTATGTTGCATGACATGGTGGCAGCTCACAGTACTGTGAGAGTTTCAGTTTGCAGAGTAAATGAAGGTAAGTACTTCAGGTGACTCTTGACAAAAATAATCCAAAAATGATTTCTATTAAGCACTAATATATGAAACAAGCCCATGTGTTATATATACATCTATTTCTTAAGAAATAATGTATGTGTGAATTTGTACTCATCTCTGAGTTTGTATTGTATTAATTCATTTATATGAAATTGTATTTTTCTTTTTCTACAATGTAACAGCTACTATACTAGGCTCTGGGGATGCAGTGCTTATCAAGAAGGACGTAGTCATTGCGTCACTGAACTTCATACTAGTTGGAAAGACAGATGATAAATCGTGAAAATAAAGTGTGACAAGTGCAGGGAGTGTATTAGATATTAGAGCTCATTTACTGTAGATGTCAGGGATGGCTTCTTTAAAATATTTTTTAAGTGGTTGAATTAGATAAGAGGTAGGTGAGAAGATAGTATGGTGGGAATGAGTGAGGGAGAAGAAGAGGGTTCTAAGTGCCCAAAGGCCTGGAGTTTGGTCACTGTAAGAACTGGAAGAAATTCAGTGTGGCAAATGTAGAAAGTTGGTGATGTACAGCCTTCTAAGGTATGTTGAAGAATTTTGACTTATTCCAAAATGCAATGGACAGCCATTGAAGGGTTTTAAACAGGGCAGTGATCTGATAATTATTAGCCTTTCTAAAAAAAATTATTCTGGCTGCCATATTCACACTAGTTTAGAGGGGAGTAATACTGAAGGCATGAAATGGATCAAGTTGAAGGTTGTGGAAATGGAGAGAAATGATGTGGGTTTGAAAGCTATTTGTAGGGCCATGGAACAGGATTTTACGATTCATTGGATGCAAGGTGGTAGAGATGTCAGGCTGGGGGATGGATGTTTAATTAACATAGTTTAATTAAATAGAAGGAGAAGCAGAATCTTAGGGAAGGATAATGTTTTGGACATGTTAGTTTGCTGAGATATTGAAGAGGTAAAGGAGATACGGGGGAGGTAGCACAGCATCACGGGCCTTGGGGACCATAGCTGCTTAGATTTGTGAGGAACACCAAATTAATCTCTATTTTCTTGGCTCAGTATACCTCCTCCAAGTGTAAACAGTTTGGCCTAGCAGGTTACTCCTTCCCTGTGCTTCCTGGTCACTTGCTATTTTAGCTGGGAGTATCTGTCTCTCTCCCCTACCTGCAATGTTAGATGTGTCAGATTATTGGTGCTCCTCCTTTTCCTTCTCTGCTGCTGCTGGAGATAATTGGGATGCTAGGACATATGTACCATTCAACTTATATCGTCCTATCCCCTTTGTATAGTCTATCAGATCATTGATATTTTATTTCCTGGTAGACCTAAGAGGAGTTGAATTTCAAGTGGTTTTAACAGCTTTAAGACTTTTAAAAATAGGTATCTTGCTTAAAACTGAAGATTATTGTATCCATGTACTAAATATTATTAGAATCCTTTAAAAGTTTTTTCCTCATAGCTTAGTAAACTAGTTCTTTGTTGTTGTTTTTTTGTTTTTGTGTGTTTGTGTGTATTTGTTTTTATGAAGGAGTGTCCTACACAGTCACAAAAAATAGTTTTCTTACACATTTTTGTTTATAAACTAATGTAACTGTCTTCTGAGCATAGTATTAAACCTAGGTGAGAGAGAGAGAGAGAGAGAGAATGTCCAAATACAGGGTGTCTCAAAAAAATGTATACACACTATAAAGGCATTGTTTATTAAAATACCTTTCATTTTCAAAATGAAATAGAATCTGCAGCTATCAGCTGCTAAAGTATGTATACATTTTTGGGGGAAACCCTGTATAAGACAGTCCTAAAGAAAAACCTTTTACATGGGAAGATCTTTTATAAAGTCTTTAGCTAACTTGAACATAGTATACACATTTCTAAGGAAATAGTGAAATGGATACTATATCACAATATTTATTTTAGAAATTCATTTAAAATAATGTCTAAAATATTAGGACTATTTTAGGAATAGTGAGTACACAGTGAGACTTTCTAGGTTATAAAAAGTGGCAACAAGAAGAAGAATGCTGTAAAAAATGCTGTTAAAAGAGAAAGTAGGGGGAGGAACCAAGATGGCGGCATAGGTAAACACCTGAAATTGCTGCCTCGCACAACCACTTCAAAATTGCAACTAAAAGACAAAACAGACATCATCCAGAACCACAGGAAGGCTGGCTGAGTAGAAATTCTACAATTAGAAGGAAAGAGGAAAGCACACTGAGACTCAGAGGAGGTGTGGAAGTAAAGTGCAGAGGTACGGAGGCGCACGCGGAAAGGGCTGGCAACTGAGGACGCGGCTGTCTTTTTCATTCGGGAGGGAGACACAAGCTCCCAACGGCTCTGAACTCCAGTTCCCGGCGAGTCTCTGGGAACCAGACTCATACATGGAGAAACTTGAGGGAGGCTTTCTCTCAGAGGTGCTTGCAGCGATTACCGTGAGACCCAGGGCCCGTAGGGCAGGGCCAAGGACCATTCATAGCTGTTTGCTCTGCCCTGTTGATTCCCTGAGATCCTGCCCCACCCAAGTTGGGCGCAGAGGCTTTTGCATATGAATGGCCTGGCCCTTTGCAATCTAACATTACCTAACAAACTGCAGCTGGGCCAGACAGATCCAGAACATCCAAAAGAAGGCCCACGGCCCCACAGCAGCTTGCATTGCTTTACAGGGCCTCATCTGGGCACCTCCAAACCCCAAACAAGGAAGGGGAATCTACAGATCTCTTCGTAGCTCCTGCTGGGTAGCCTCAGGCAGAGGCTCCATTA